CCAACCAGTACAAAAGCCAGCCGCAGGAGTCACGCCTAAGCCTCCTACTGCAGCTTCTCAGCCACATCTTCCACAGGAAGCGGTTCCAACTATGACAAGGACCCATGACGAGATAAGAGTATTAAGAGGAGGCGAAATTCAACAACATTATCTTAGTAATATAGAAAAACCGGAAGAAGAACCGGAAAAAATAGCAGTGCAGCCAGTTAGTGTACAGGTTTGTATGTATTGTTCTATTTTTATCAGCTAATTTTACTTGTTGTAATGCATAGGAATTCTCAAGCTGTTAGAATCACCTTTCTGATTCAACCGATTTAGGATGACGCCAGTTGGTTAACCCAAACCCGGGTTGTGGTTTCTGATGTCGTTCTGCCGCAGCCTTCAAAAATTGCAATTCCTGAGTTTCAGGAAACAGTTAGAGTACAGGTAGAATTTGTCAGTTCATAATATTGCTTTTGTTTAACTTCATTCAGACTGCAACGATTGCGTAAAACCTTTTTTCTCAAATTTCTCAAGTTTTTTATTTGCTAGAAGTATCTCCAGTAATCAGCGGGTGACTAGCACAAACGGAAATTAGTAGAGATCAACCGACGAAATATATTTCCAAATAATGTATGTAGACTGCAAGAATTTTTACTGTGACGGTTATTTTAGTTTTGTTTCAGCCTACGGTAATTGTGCCTAAGCCAGCTCAAAGGACGCGTGTTGACTGGAACGAATTCCCTGAAGAAGAAGTGAAGGAAAGGATTCAAGCTCCTAGGCTAAGACTTCAGGAGTGGTGGCCGGAAAAACAGGTGCGTTATTTTAAATACTTTACTTTGCTTTGGGTAGATTCATGAAAAATAATAATACAATAGTTTTAAAGGCTGAAATTACTGAAAATCGAGTAGGAAGAACTACCTATCGACCAGGTCGTATTAATCGTACATGGCCTCCACCGCAGGACGAGAATCAACCACCTCCGTATGTATCAACAGTTAACAGCAGATTCCTGTTTATGATATGAATATCTAGAATATAAGTGTTTAATGTTTCAGAATGGACTTTCGCCCAACAAGAACTGCTGAAGATAACACTTGGATTCATGAGGTTACTTCGTTAAAGATTGGTTTCAATAAAATATATTACCAGTAAACAAAACTTTTTTTACTGTTTATTCATACACTGTTGAAGTTAATATATCATAGGGCAATGTCGAAATGGAAAAAACTAACGCGTGGGTTAAAGTGACATCAAACGAAATTCTCAAGGAAAAAGTTTGGCCTCCTCAAGAGCCTGAAATACAAACCGGCTTTATAGGTTATAACTTGTTATTAAACAACACTCTGTATATCTGTACCGGGAAGTAGAATTTTAACCTGTATCAAGCAATAAATTTATTGCTGCTGACGCTTCAGAGGGCGGGGCACGTTTACCAACGGTACAGTGGCCACCACCAGAGTTTGAACAACAAGTGCAACAAGAAGTTGAGATTCTACAAACTCGTCTTCCTATAAAGCCACAGCAGCGTCAGTGGCCTCCACCACCACCGCAGTATCAAGGCACCTGTTTTCAATAATAATATAAAACATCAATTTGGCTTTCGAAAAACTTTTGTTTTTTTCTTCTGTTTTCAACTAGGCAGTTGCTTTTTGATTCTCAGAATGTTTAAAAACTATATTTTTCGCTTTGCTAGCTAAAAAATTAGTTTATACCAGATCAATACGTTGACATGAGGGAGTAAGTAGTTTTTGTGTTTCCACTTACTTGAGCAATAATATTTTTGATTGAAAAAAAAGTGAGCTTTTTTTACAGTAGCTTGCAATTTTAAAAATTTAAATGTGAACAGTAGATTCTAATAATATTTAGTGAAAGTGCAGAAAAAAGTATTTCAAATAGATCTCAAGCTATTATTTTAGCAGTTAACGCTCAACCAGATGTGCAAGTAGATATGATACAGCAACAACAGCAGCAACAGCAGGAACTACAGCAACAACAGTATCGCCAGTACCAGCAAAAGCAACAGTACCAACAGCAACAACAACCACAATATTATCAACAACAACAACAACAACCAAAACATTACCAACAGCAACAACAACAACGTGTAGTCATGGGTCCAACTAAGCAACAGGTTTCTGTCTATCTCTTCCCACCTTGCAGAATGCTCATTTTTTGTAAAGAAAAAGAAAAAAGTGAGAAAAAAAGGAATTAAGAGGGCTGAACTTACCCAATCTTATGAGTTTTTTCAGGTGCCAATACCGCCTCAGAAACCAGCTGTTGCTCCACCAGTGGCAAAGCGAACATTTCGGCAGTAATTACCGGTAACTAAATTATAGTAAACAACTAAGCTGTACCAAACCATGTAATAATATTTTTGTTTGTGGGAAAAGAGAAGGACAAGGAATGATCAGTTTTACGCTGATGAATAATGGACAACTGAAGTCTTTCCTTTATTTTATTTGCTTTCGTTTTGTGCCTATCACTTTTTCGCACATTAACTTTATATGGTTACAGTTCATCTATTTATTATGAGGTTAAACGTTCATTGTTTATGGATGAGTGTTATATGTGCGGTAAAACGGGAAAAGCAAAAAAGAAAAAGAAGAAAATGATATACATGATAAAAGAAGTTTTAGAATTTGTCTTATTGCTTAATGGACAAATATCTAATTTATTCTTGCTGTTGCCGTTGTTCTTGGTCAAATAACTTGATGTTTCAAGATGTGATCTTCTTCTGTTCGGAAAAAGAAAACCAACTATTAAACCAGGAAGATAAAGCATAAAACTAAAAAAATGTTTCTCAGAGTTGAGCAATTTTCAAATATGAACTAATTTCTGCCTACTATTCATTACTAGAGTAGGCATATGTGTGTATAATAACACTGAACTTGTTATTGTCACATTCGTTGTATCGAAGAACTGCAAACCAATTGCTAAGTATGCTGCCAATATATACGTACTGAGAAAGCGCAGTTTTCGATTCATATTTTTTTTTATTGTAATGTTTTAAGAGAAAGGAATTGTAAAATAAAAAGCAGTGTTCGACTATCTATTATTTTACAAGATTTTCACGTAAGCATCGATTTTCACAGTGATTTCGGTCTTTGCACTTAGACTGTCTGCTGTGAAAGAAATCACCAAAAGCACATAACTTTGAGCAGACACCAAATTAAAGAGCCGAAAAAAATTTAGCATTGAACCTATTATTGAGTTAAGATCATTCTGTTGTTATGCAGAATAAAGTATTTCAATAAAAGTAATGTTAACTTTTTTCAAGTACTTGAAGTCTTCAGGATTTGAATTT